GACTGTAATTTAAATTGTTTATTTGAATTGGTTTACCAAATAAAATATCAATAAATAATTTATAATATAATTATAACTTTATAATTATAAATTATAGTTTAGAATTAACTAAAATTTATAATTTTTTTAAACTATAAATTACTATATAGACCAAGTTTCAAAGTATTAATTTTTAAAATCTTTTCTAATGTAAAAAATAACGAATGGTTATTTTTGACATTGAAAAGAAATCGATAAAAAAAATAATTATTTTAGCAAACTTTTAATTCAAACCTAAATAACTTATTTAATTTTAACTATCATTAGAAATGGAACAAACAATAATACAAACCCGATCGTCGAAAGGCAGGACTGAGACACCGACCGAGTGGTCGCAGACGCTTTCTGATCTGTACAATAAAACCACCCATTTGGCAACAACACCAGTGCAAGACTTTCAAATCAAGACGGATGCATTGATGACAATATTGTGTATTGATGGGACACTCCACGTTCCAGTTGAATTGTCTGCGCATGGAGTACTTGCAACAACAAAAGCTGGTGAGACTGTTTATGTGTGTGCAACAAAGTCGTCGTTGTTGAAGATAGTCACGCCACTCCTGACACGCCGACCACTTCTCATCACAAATGCAACAATATATGACATCAACGAAATGATATATGCGGCAATGGCACTCAAATTGCCATCGCTTGATGTTGCTGAGCAGACGGCAAAGTGGATGTTTGACCACCCATCGGAGCGTCTAGATGGTGTTGCTGAGACGTGGGTGGTCAACACCTTACTTCGTGAGAAAAAAGAAGTTGCGTATCAGATCCGTGACAATTTGATTGTGCCACAAAATACACAGAACGTGTTTTCGAGTATGCTTCTTGACAATGGATTGACTGATGTTGCATGCTCACCAGAGAACATGGGTGTTATTGCTGGGTTTTGTGCTGAGAATGCGCTTCGTGAAGGTGGGAAGTGGTTCAAAGAGTTACAACGCCTTTATGTAGCTGGTGGACGAAACAAAGAGTATATTCTCCCATTGTTTGTAGTAGCGTGGCGTGTGTGTTCTGATGAGAGTGGGCAGAATGGGTTCATAGAAAGTGGGTGTTTGAGTGAGTTGGTTGGGTTGACAATCAAAAACGACCGGGAGGACATCGTGTTGACGTACCTCGAGATAATCACATCGTTGTTGCAACGAGAAGAAAACGTTCCTGCTCTCGAGAAGGCAAAGGCAATTGAAGTGACAATGGAAATCATGAAGAAGCAAGTCACTATGAAACTGATTGAAATTTCCGCACTTCGAGCAATGTCACTGTACTGCGGGACTATGGGAACCAACAACGAGTTCGTCAAGAACAAGTGGCTTAATGTTGTAAAGTATGTGATGGAACTGTATATCCAAGACGAGAGTGTCCAGAACGTCGGGTTGAACATCTTGATCAAGTTAGTGAGTGATACAACAAGTTGGCGTGCATTTGAAGAGGCCAAGATCGTTGACTATCTCATGAACGTTCTCGAAAAGAACAAAAAGTGTCCTAACGTTACCACCCTTGCGACTCAGATAATTCAAGAGGCGTTGAGAAACAGTGGTGGGTCTGTGAATAAAAACATCGACTTTGTATAATGTTTAATTATTACTATACTTTATTAATTAATTTTATTATTTTATAATTCTAAGTTATATTAATATAATGTTCTATTAACATCAACAAATGAATTAATTTATCTAATTTATTACTTTTACTATTGAAACTATAGAATAAGAATTATTAAAGAACTTAATAATCGATGAGTGAAACAGTTGGGAATGTTGTTATACAAGTTCCGCCTGAGAATGCTAAGAACCCAGTCGAAACCCCCGAAGCAGATCCAATCAAAAAAGATATAACTCTAACCGACATTATCAGTGTAACCGATCAATCAAACAAATGTGACGAAATAGCAAAGCAACAGCAAGAAATGTTTGTTCGACTCGTTAACCTATTTTTTATTATAATGTTACTATTCAATATTAATACATAGAAAAGACATCATCAACGATCAACTCCACCACGTCGCTAACATCCAACAAGTTGTGAATTCAAAAACAAAACACTTCAACGAAATTATCGACCAATCCATCGCAATTGTGAAAGACACTAAAAAGGATTTGATCATCATCCAAGCAAAGATTCAGTTTGTTTCTTTGTAGTACAAACAACAGATTTGACCTCAAGGAATATGCGGCTGATGTTGAGACTCGGAACAAGCAAATAACCATTTTTTTACTTCATTTTTACTATATTTTAATAGTAACAAAACCATACTTAAACTACAAAATATAAAGTTATTTTAAGACTTATAATTACCAAAGTGAGTCTTAAAATAAAAATTTCATAATGGATAGTAAATGTAATAGTAAAAGAATTAAAAAGGTATAGTAAAATAATTCCAATTTAGTCTTTGGTGAGTTTCTTGTGTATTTTTTTGCCAAGTTTGATCACATGTTTCAATTTGAAACCTTTTTTCAGCCCACTTTTGATTCTTTTTAATAACTTCTTCTTATGAACAGGTCCGACGATCGGATCTATTCCTTCTTTTGCATTACATGTCTTAAACTTTCTCGGTAATTTCTCATATTTACTAAAGTCTGCATAATTCACTTTGATTCTGTGTTCAAGGTTCATGTAACGAATTAGTCGTCCTTGTTGTTTGAGAGACAGTTTCGAGACTAATTTGTATAAAGTCCTCATTAGAGTCCTACGAGTTTGTCTAACCTTACGTAGATTCTCATTCTGGGAACGTATCTTGGCTCGAAGAGCTTGTGTCTCGTCATGACTTGCAAACATTGTCATGTCCTCTAAATCACCTTCATTTTCTTTGATCAATGCACGCTCTGTTTCATCTATTTTCTTCAAAGAGTTCTCAAGAGCTTCTGCTTTGTCCATTATACTTTTCACTTGTCGTCTGCATGTGGACCCTCTGCATGCATCTAATGGACTTATTACTTCTAATCCACCTAATCCTCCAAATCCCCCCAAACTAAACATCTTCTAATCAGTCTCTTCAAAATAGAATTTACAAAAAACATAATAACACAAACTTGTGCTGAACAATGTGACAGCAATACCAAAAAGAATGCCAGCATCACAGATATATTACAAAAGGAGTTCAAGTTCCTAAGCTCTTTTGTTTTTAACATTCTTTGATTGAACTTGCTACTTCACAACAATTTCGGTGGGTTCTTGTTTTTGATTCTTTAACACGGAAGTTTCAAGCTATTGTTCGGGTTCTCTCTATTATTCTCTCCCTATTTTTCTATTTTTAGTAAGGTCAAAAATGTGAAGTAAATCCCGTTTTAAAGTACAAGACAATGAGTTCTGGTAATCTCCCCGTTTTCTAAGAACTCAATTTTAATTTGTTTGTTCGCAAGTCTTTGTTGATAGAGAGAAACATGGAAGTTATAACTTCGCATTTATAAAGATAAATAGAAATACAAAATAGATTATTTTAATTAATTTAAATAATACTTTAAACCATAAATGATAGTTATATTTATTGTGCTTAAACTTCGCTATTTTCTGAACTATTTTCCACTTGGATGTCTCTTTTATTTCACTTAAATAGTAGTGAATAGTGTTTCACTGTGTCACAACAGTTGTAACAGAATTAATACGTTCAATGTTCCACAATTGGATGTTCTTTCTTGTTTTATAGTATATAGTATAATATATTATAATTAAATAATACACTTTCATACTTGTTAACTTCAAACCCCATGTCTTCCTCAAAGATGGAGCAAAGCACCAATTTTGTCATGTCGCAACTCAACGAGTTTTTAACGCGGTATCACCAGAACTCTTTCTCAATGAATATTTCCGTTTGTGCCATATTCAAACGCATCGACAACAAATGACATAAAGAAAATGCATGTGCTTCTTTCAGTGGTGATGGGGTTTAACATGAAAAATGAAGAGGTCCTCAAACAAGTAGTTGACGCCTGTTTGTCGCACTTCAGATACCCAGAGCCACACAATCCAATGAATAAATCCGTTGAGATGATATTCAATTTCCTTGTGACTTACATTGGCGACGCAATTTGGTTCACACAGAAAGGTGCTGTGACAACACAGGCATTACAGTACAGACTATCTGTTCAAGTTTGTTGTACCAATTCAACCCCAATAAAACAAATCAAGTCCAAATGATCACCAGTAGATAACTGGCTCAAGAAATCCACTTGCGGTATATAGTGTGGAGTATTTGAGAGGGTTTAGTCTATTTGCATTGAAACAGTGGTTTGAAAGTAAGAAATTAGTACTCATTATGTATGCCCTTCACGTCTTGGATTACATTCTCGACTCTCGAAACCATCAAGAAAGTATTCAAGACTGTATGTACGCGTTCAATTCAAGAACTCCGGAATTGGGTAGTCCACCTCCTCACAACTTTATTGATATCTTTAAAATGGCAATCTTGAACCTTGCTAATAGTGACCAACTGAGTTTGTTAATAGTAAGAGTATTAACTTCTATTCACTGATATATAGAAATGTTCATTGCCATACTCCAAAGATGTCGAACAGAAGAGTGTACCACTTACTTCACTGAGAAACAAAATACTGTTCTAAACAATATTTATGTGTTGTGCGATAATAAGGTTAAAGTGCACGTGGATACCCCTTACTTCAAATTTATCTTCTCACAAGAAGATATTGCAGATATCGAGAAAATACCAATAACTCCACAAATTGATTTAAATGGCGAGGAATTTCCGTCGTTTTTAACAGTAGTTCCTCCAGTCGTTACTCAAACAAGAAACACCGAAAAACAAATACTCAAACGAGATACTAGTCAGAGGAGCAGGTCAAGGTCGCGAGAGAGAAATGAAAGTCGGCGGTGGGGGGAAGACGAGAGAAATTCATTTTCTCTTGCGAAATTGCCAAAAGCCTCGAAGATGCGACGAGAAAAAGATTCGCGAGATGACAGATATTCAAGAGACTATGAAGGGTATCGAGAGGTGAGTTATGTGCACAAGGGGTCAAGAGACAATTCTTTAAACTCCGAGAAAATTGAAAAGGGGAAGAAGGAGAATACCACATTGCATCTAAGAATAACGGTGAAAGAAGTGTCGGAGATGGCTGATTTACTCAAACTCTTAAACGAACCAAAAGGGGCTCGAGCGTTTGGGATGGTTGACAATATCTTTACCATTCTCTTTGAGAGTGAAAATGGAGTGAACCAATTTTTGAAGGCTTGGAATAGGAATTATGAGAGGTACTAAATTCTTAGTTATAGAATATTAATGTATTAATATTAAGAACCAGTTACACCTTCCATCTATTTAAATATGAAAGAATCGAGGACTTTATTCTTCCATCTTTAACTATCATATATAGAATAATATAGTTTCATTTAATTATTGTATTTCAAGAAGTTTTCAATGATTACTTTTGAAGTTTGTTATAGTTATTAATATTTCCAATTAATTATTAATAGATTATTAATAGAGTTGATATATTAAATAATACTATACACATATAGAAAGTCATATCTGTTTGATTGGGCTAAAGAAGTAAGGCATTTTAAACTCAATCTTACTCACTACACACATTAATTATAAAATTGTAATAATTATATAATAAAAACTAAGACTTAGAATTTAGAAATAACAAGCTGAAACGTCAAAAAATAAGAATAGACCAGAGAATGTTCTGGTAATGAAATATTGAAGTCAAAGTCGTTTTTAATTGTTTTGGAAAAGAAAAAGAACTGTTGAAAACCACAATGGAGGAATCCGTCTTATACGTCCGCTCGGTTCAATTGAAAGAGACTGCCGTCGTCGACAAAATTGCATGTAAGACTTTAAAAGAGGCGAAACATTACCTCAAAGAGAAGTTTGCAACAGAAAAACACCAACACGTTGTATTATTGAATAAAACAAAGGTCATCAAAACTGAGGTCGACTACCAAGAACTCCCCAATAAAACACTTCTTTATTTCAAGACTAAACTTTCGAAAAAACGACAAGCGGAAATCAGTGAGAACGATTCGATCACTGAAATGCTTCAACGATTTCTTCTCGGGTTTTTACAAGGAGAAACATCCAATTTTGAAATTGTCTATTACCTCGAGCCTGCTACGAACCTTCTCACTATTGTTCTTCAACCAAGATATACTCATGACTCTTCTGAGAACGGAAATATTGAAATTGGTATGCAAAACGAAGAGGTATTGAATACCCCAATTGTGGAGGAACATGTTGAAGAAGTCCCACATAGAGACTTGTCCATTATCGAACATGTAGTTTGGGAAACAATTAAATTTATCAACTCCAAAAACAACTTAACAAAGGAGAGACTTTTTAATCGAATAGGTTTACTCTTCTCGTATGTCTTTATGATGAACAACGCTTCTATACATAGCGTCATATCAAGTTTTTTAACGGAGATGTCACAAACGTTTTTGAGGGTATATAAAGAGTCGCATATCGACGGGTGCAAACTGAGAGAATTTCTTAATGTAGTTGCACAGTTCTGTTACTCGTATGTCGATCATGTCGAGAACTCGACAACAAGCGAAATCGAAGTGTTTCAGGAAATGACTCGAAGCTTTTTTGTCCAAGTCAATGATAGGAAATTATTGTCGGTGTTTTTCGACTTGTCTGATTATCTCCTCACCGCTAGACATACGGCAAATATTCAAGAACGAAAGGACAGTATTTTTGATGCCATCACCGATCTCATTAATTAAAGTGTTTTTATGTTTACTATAAATCTTTAAACTATATATTTTAATAAAACAATTATACATTTACTACAATTTTTGATAATCATTTTTTATTTAATATTTAATATTTTATTACAATTTTATAGTAATTTGTTACACACTAATATCCCGATTAAATCAACAAAATGTGTTTAATACAAATTGAAAAAAGAATTCAAACACTTGAGCAATCGAAGTTTGGAAATAAGACACCCACAGAAAGTTCAAAACAAAAACAACTGAAAACAATAAATGAACTCCACCGGCGACGATGACGCGATAAAGGTTTGACTACTTTTTTATTTATACAGTGCATTATCTTTGTTGTTATTACTCACACAAAGATCTGTTTAATTGGGGATTCATGTGTTGGGAAGACATGTTTGGTCAACCGGTATGTGACAGACGCATTCGATCCAAGTGAGCGTGAGACGGTAGGTGTCAACTTTATATCGACGATGGCTGTGATCAATGGACAAAGTCAAAAAGTGACGATATGGGTTTGTCTTCATTGTTCAAATATGGATTTCATAGAAACATTTAAAAATGGGATATGTAACATATCTATAACAATATAATCTACATTCTATAATATTATATAGTATTAGATATAATTAATTTCATTTGAAATGGTTTTGCTTCGATTGAATTGAATCGAAAAGGCACGTCGTCTTGGAATTGTGTGAATCTTATTTTGATAGGAAGAACAAGAAAAGTCTTTTTGTATCGGTTTTAATGTATTTATAGTATTTATAACGATGGTTTCAATTGGAAAGTAATCAACAGGACACTGCAGGACAAGAGAAATTTCGGAGTATGATCGACTTGTATTTTCGAAAAGCTGCTGGTGCTGTCGTGGTGTATGATGTGATGAGCCGCGAATCTTTCCAACATTTGGGGTATTGGATCGACCGAGTGCGGAGTGTCGAGCCGGACGTATTTATCATGGTTGTTGGAAACAAAGTTGACAAGCCGACAAAAACAGTGACCACACACGACGGCGAGAAATTTGCAAGTGACAAGAATTGTAATTTTATGGAGGTGTCTGCGCTTGACGGGACGAATGTCAAAAAGATGTTCCAGACGATATACGACTCGTTGAAATTGCCTGAAGTGGGGAGTGCGAGTGTTAAGCTTTCCAAAACCGGAACTCCGAGCGGAGGGTGTTGTTAGCTTCTTTTTAGCTGTTGTCGATTTCTAATTAAATTAATGATAAGAAACTATTAATTATAGTAAATGTTTTTGAGTCGGCGTTTTTGGGGTTTAATTGTAGTGAATGTAAGATGTATATAAAGATTGTAACGTGTTTGTTATGGACACAATGGGAAGACGGTCGTGAGGATTAGGCTTCCAACTTTTGTCGATTAAAGCATATTCTTCGTCTGATATCAAGGTGGTCTGCTCGAGACGACTCCCTTTAGTCACGAAATCCACAACATTCCAACAAAACTTGAATTTGTCTTTTGTGTAACTCTCCGTCCAAGTGAAACACTCGTACATCGTCACTGCAAAGGAAAAGACGTCTGCAGGTTGACGATAATTTTCACCATTCAACACTTCAGGAGCCATGAATTTTGGTGTGCCAATTCCTTTGGTAAAGGTCATGTTGGTCAGAAGCAAGTTGATGTTTCTTGAGCTTCCAAAGTCAGTCAGTTTTGTGTTAATACGTTCACCAAGGGATTTAGATATCACTAAAATGTTGTCTGGCTTAATGTCTCTGTGTAAGATGTTGTTTTCGTGCAAATAAAAGATACCTTTCGAAGCATCCAATAAGAATTTTAACTTGAGTAAATGTGGTATTTCTTCTTCTTTTTGTCGGTTCATCAAATCCCGCAACGAACCATGTTCTGCAAATTCAGAAACTAAACACATCTTTGTTGGAATAAATACTGCACCATAGAAGTGAACAATATAATCACTTTTGAATTTTTCAAGCATCTCTATTTCTTTTTCGAACTCCTCAATATCATGGTGGTACTGATTCATCGACTTCATCTTCTTTATTGCAACTTTCTGTTCTCTGAATTTACCCAGATACACAATACCAAATGAACCCTCACCCAATTTGATTTCTGTTTTGAGCTCTTCTGGATCGATATGAGTTGATAACTCAGTGACACACTTCAAGTGGATCTGAGCATTTGCCTCTTTTTGCGTCTTCAAGTCAACATAGACTAACTTCAACTCAGAGTTAATTTTACATGTGCAATTCGGCTTTATCAAAATTTCAAATTCACATGCCTCGCCTTGTTTTAACACTACAACCGATGGATTTATTGTTAAACAAAATCTCTCGTTTTCAACCACACTCATTTGGAGCTTGATTGCTCGTTTACCACCGTTGCCAACACACACAAGATCTCGCGAACTGGTTGTGACTGGGATACAACCCTTGTCGAATGTGATTTCCTTTGTGTTTACTTTAATAACAGAATTTAAATCAAAAAACACCATATTGGCACGTTTCATGAAAAAGACAGTTTTGTTCATATCCTTCTTTTTCTTGAACAATATAAGGGCTATAACACTGAGGAGGAACAATACAACTAGAAGGAAGACCAAAACAGCAATTGATACAACGACATAAATCCATACTTTCTTTAATTCTTGGCACATACCGCTCTGAATAAACCACCCATTCGCACACTCTACACATACACCATTTTCCGCTTTGATACACTTGTGGAAAGAAGTCATAGATATACAAAGGTCATGCGACAAAACAAATCCATTAACACAATTCGTACACTTTTTAAGTGCTTCACATAATGTACAGTTATCTCTACATTTAGAACACATCCCATTGAGGTCAACATAATACCCATTATTACAAATTGAACAACCATGTGTACCAAAAAGAATACAATTTGGTATACTTGTTGTGGGTAAACAATGGGATTCATTCATGAAGTAATTATCAGAACAGGATAAACACCCATTTTCATCTTTGGAACATGTTTGACAAGACTCGTGGCATTTCAAACAATTCTTGTCTTTAAAAACATAGCCGGACTTACACAAACCACAGCCAGTACCATCAGTAAATGGGACAGAACAACCTTCCAAGTCTTTGAGTAATCCACAATTTCCATTGGACAAAACAAAACCCATCTGACATGACATACACTCCACACCATTGTAACAAACAGAACAATTCTGTTGGCAGGGTTTACAACCGCTATTTGTAGCATAATACCCCTCCGAGCAACGTAAACAGCCATATTCATTTTCTACGTTACATTTGTTGTTCAACGATGTTGTTTCAGCCTTCAAACGGACTGATGGCGATTTTTTAAGACATTGTTTGTTATTGACAAGAATATAACCTACACTGCACTTGGAACACGTTTCACCAGTATTACAAAGTTCACAATTATCCAAACATTTATTACAAATAGGTTCTTTTCCAGTTTTGTAATACCCATTATTACAAAAGGAGCAAATATTGTTCGTAGAATCTTGACAATCACCTTTGACACACTGATTATTTACCAACAAGTAATTTGGAAGACAGGTTTCACAACCTGTACTTAAACAAGTCTGACAATTTTCTGAACATTGTAAGCATGTACTGTTATTAATAGAATATCCCGTTGCACATTGTAAACATCCAGACAAAGTTGATTTAACACATTCATTCCCCTTTTCAACACAAATATCATCTTTCAAATAATGTGTTATTTTTATGCAACTTGTACACTTAACTTGTTCATCAACATAGATACAAGTCTCACAATTTGCTGGACATTCGTCGCACATCAAACTGGAATTAACATAATACCCATCATCACAATGGAAACATTGCGAACGTTCCACCAAATCACATCTTGGAAGTGTTTGTTCAACACATTTCGAAAGAGTGGGGTCGTACAACAAATCCCTTTGGCAATAAAGACAACCGTATGGAGAACAAGTTAAACAATCTTTGAAAGAACACGTTTCACACTCTCCATTTATCGTGTAATTGGAATTCGGACACGTCTCGCATCCTGTTATTTGATTCATTGTGCCACATGTCTCAAAACGTTGTTTGTAACACTTTCCATTTGAATAAACAAATCCTTCTTTACATTGAACACAAAGCGAGTTGTCAAAAGCACACGACGAACAACCTTCTTCGCATATTTTACAACTATTGTCATTAGAAAGACCATACCCATCTTTACATGATAAACACTTAGTTGAGTATCGACTTGCATCCAAACAACCATCAAAGTATTCTTTTGTGCTCCAACAATAATTATCAAATGGGAAATACCCAACATCACATTCTCCTGAAAAGGATGTGCATGTTGTTGGAGTGCATTGTACACATTTTGAACTCTCATCAAGAGTATATCCAATCTGACATTTTGAACATTTTTGTCCACGGCATTGAATGCATTTGTCGTCATCTACACAAAGTTTGGTGCATTCACCATTTTCTACATAATAACTCTCTTCACATATATCACATTTATATTGAGATGTTGAACACGTTCTACAGTTGGGCAGATCACATTCTTTGCAACGACTTTCTGAAAGAGTCTTACCAACCGCGCATCTATGACATCCCCACTTTACATTATCACATTCCACACAATCAGTGAAGTTGTTGAAACATGAATAACAGTAGTTGTTGTATAACGAAAGACCGTTATTGCATTTCCCATCAACAGGAGTAACACAATTTTTGTTTGTTGGTGAGCAACTTTCACACATTCCATTTGTTGTTAGGCCAAACCCCACTTGACAGACAGCACATAAATGATTTGTTTGTGAACAAGTGTAACAATCAGAAATACTACTCTGACATACATTACAAGATAAACTATCCGGTGATGGAACGTATCCTTCAACACACTTCAAACACCTTTTAACCGACCGATCTCCAACGAGGCAAAATGTAATAGCAACTGAAGTCACAACACAAGCTCCATCAACATATGTATAACCTTCTTCACATAAATTGCATCCACTTGATGAACGAGAACACGTATGACAATTGGGATACTCAATGGAACACAACGCACACCCATCTCCACTCTTAATTTTGGTGTAATTTATGGAACATCTAAAACACTTCTGTTCGTATTTTGAACAAAGTGAACACCCATTAAAAACAGAAGAACATGGAGAACAATTACCCTTTTGGGTAGGAGTATTTCCATCTTCGCAAATGAAACATTTCTCTGTTGAACATACAACACAATTGTTACATTTAACACATTTTCCATTTTGTAGAATATATCCACTCTGACATTGTATACACTCATTCAAACATTTTGAACAACCAACTTCTTTCTCACAACTCACACAAACGTTATTACGAAAAAGAAACCCATCTCGACAACGCGTGCAATGAGAAGAATCTGAACAAAAGTCGCAATTTTCAGAACATTTTTGACAATTATTTGAAGTAAAGTAATATCCAATTTTACAAGATGCGCATGTGTGTAAGTAGGTTGTACATGTATGACAATTACTTGGACATTTTTCACAATAATCATAAGGATCCACATACCCACTTTGACAATTTCTTGGAAAATTCATGTTACTACATTGATCGACGGAGTTTAGAAGAAACTTTGAAGGGCAACCTTTTTGTTATTTTTGATATTCTATTGGAAGTAACAAACTTGTACATTTACCATCAGTGGTCAATCTATAATGAACATCACAAGCAGTACAAACTGAAGCATTTGAACATTTTGTACATCCTTCCATTAACACGCCACATCTCAAGCACACTGAATCAAATAAAATGTGATTTTCTGGACACGAAGAACATTCGTAAGCGTTTATACAACCCTTACAATACGATGGGCAATTATGACACTCGTTAAAAAACGTGTTATAGTACATCCCTTCTTGACAATTTTCTGTACATTTGACTAATGAACATTCAATACAGATTCCTTCAACCAGTTTAAAACCTCTAGAACAAACATTACATGTTTTTCCATTTTCACATTTCTCACAACCATCTATGCACTCTTTGCGTTAACGTTTCCATGTTTATATCGTTTGTTCAACTAAAATACAAACTTTTGCATTTTTGATTTTGGTTAAAATACCCCTCCATACAAGCTAAACATGTATTCTCACTTTCACATGTCAGACAGTTTTCCTGACATGGAGAACATATCTGTGAAGATCCAGTTATTTTATTCAGATAATATCCTTCTTGGCAACTAGTACAAAACAGTTCAGTTGTACACGTCTTACACTCACTTCTGCATTCTCTTTTGTTATTTCATTGCATGTTATTTTAAAAAAACAAACTGAAACAATAAAAAAAGTAATCGTCTTTGTAACTCCCCGGTTCGCACGCAGTGCACAATCCTGCATTACACGTTTTACATTCTTCGTATTTACAATTGTTTGCAGCAAGTCCAAGAAACAAGCTATTTAAAATAACGATGAATGACATCATCGAATACCTTATCAGATTTACAGTCTTACTTATTCCCTTCAAATGTTTTCGACTGCATTATCTTCCCCAAATCTACTCTTTCCAACAAACACACTTCGGTTTCACACTTGAAGTTAAAAAACGGAATTGCCAAGCTTGAACAAAATTTTATCTTTCCTTTGTTTTCAAACGTTTTTACTACACAGTATAACTACTAAAAAGGATCGAAAAATTCCTTTTAGATAGATACCAATGTGAAATTCAAATAAACCACCAAAAAGGGTTTGGTTCACTTTTTTTCAATAAGAAACAATCAAAATTAATGGCATTTTCAATTCGATAAAAACCAAACAACAAACACATCAAAACAAATCCATTTTTCATGTTGTTGAGAAAACTTTTCAAAAATAAAAAACACTCCTAAATAGCTTCTTTGTAGTCATACAACTTACTCTGAACGTACTTGTCGAAGTACGGCAACGACGTCAAATAAGCTCTTAGTGGCTCAACGGCAGCTATATTATAGCTTTCTTTTTGGTACTTTAAATACTCGACCACTAAGTCATATATCTCTCTGTTCTGCGCGTAACACACAAGCGTCTCACCTTCCTTTGTCTTGAATGTTGCCGGGTTTGTTTTCTTCGCCAATTCAATTGCTTCTTTCACCCCACTCCTACGTGTCATTTAAGACCAAAACTTCGATAGAACAAACAACAAAGGAACACAAATTGTATGCTTTTTATACGCTGCTTTCAAATTCTTCGAATTGGAAAAGATCTTATCGACCTTTTGAAAAGCTTTGAACTTCTTCTCGTTCCTTGCCTTCTCTTCTTTATCACCATATGACGTGATCTCAGTAAGAAATTGTGCTGATGACGTCTTCGCTCCAAAAGTCGCACTGCTCTTCGGTTGGTGCACTTTGACAATATCCATCAGTTTATGACTCAACCCAGTGTATATCCCATACGCAGAGTTAAAGTCTCCAAGACTCAAAAGACCCTCCAAAATGCCCAAAAACTGTAACTTCATGTACGTTCTGCTTTCATCATCAGTGAATTCAAGTACCGAGTTACACACCCACTCGGATAACTCAGAAGTTCTCTGTAAGATCACTTGGATGACTCCATTCTCCACAAAGAAGTCGTTGACTCTGAGCTTCGAATACTCTCCAAATGAAATCGCAGTGAGTTGTCTAGCGATTGTGAGTGGGTCGATTTGTGCGACCATTAAAAGTGGTGATAATTGGTCCTCTGCCGGCATGATGAAGTCGTAGATTGGCGCGATTTTCTTTGCAGTCTCTTTCTTTCTGGAGTTCTCCGCGTTTTTGTATCTGTCCTTCAACCCCTCAAACAACGAACTTTTCTCCAAATCGAGAAACTTCCACAACTCGCCTTGGTCACATTCAGCAAAGTTGTTATGAATGATTTTGTTAGTAATGATCTCACACAGTCCTTCAGGTAACACGTCCAATATATCTTTGATTTTACTCCCATATTGCCCCAACACAGGATATATCATCTCTTCAACTTGCCCACGAGTCTTCCCTTCAAGCAAAAGTCCAGAAATCCCACCAGCAATTACTTTCCCTTTCACATTCACAACAGTCAGTGAGTCATACTTCGCGTCGGTTGGTAACTTCCTTTCAGTCTTTCCCATGTTTTGCACAGAGGAAATGTATTTTTGAAGCGTCAGTACTATTGAATTCGATACAGAAAACAACTCCAACATTAATAATGTCTCAAGTCGGAAAGAACGGTCTAACCCTAATTTGGGAGACCCACTCTTCCGTATTGATAACTTCCCTTCATCTTTTGGTCTGAGGTGAACGATGTGTGAAATAATTGCTAAGACCTGTGTTCCAGCAGACTGCAATTTCCGTTTTGCGTACTCGGCAGTGTACATGTCGTTGATCTCTTGTGGTATTCCACTGACTTCTGTGTCTTTCAATTTTGATAACGCCAACATCGATATTTGTGAAATGTCCTGTGACACCTTCTTCCAACACCCAACAACACCACCAGACACTACTTCCGCGGCCTTGGTAAACACAATTGGAAGGAAACTGACAATATCAATACATGCACTCTTCAATTCATTTGCAGTGTTAGTTAATTCTGGAATTAACCCAAGTGCACCAAAGGACGTGACATCTTCCATCAATGAAGGGATGTTTGCAGCACTTTCTATCAATCTTCCGTATGCAATTTTCTCGTAGGCGTCCATCTTTTCCAACATCTCGTCGTTCTCTATTTCGTGTTCTTCAAGAAAGTGTGTCATTGGCGTCATCATCCCGATGATCCGCATTTTTGTTGAACTCTTTCGATGAGCAAAGGTGGAGATATCAAGTCGTTTCGGGGCTGATCCATTGTCGCTCAATGAGTCAACCTTCCCTACAAATATGTCGAGAGCACTTTGAGGGTTGAGTCCCTCATATATTCTCTTTGCCATTGCATTAGCTTGACACTCGACATTAAGCGAGATGATATCGCCGTGTTTCGAAGACGCAAGGACGTGGTCATAATTTGGTCGAACACATATCTTATCAAGTACCTTCTTCCGTTCTTCCAATAGTTCTTTGATCTTCGCGAAAGTCGCGTGGACGTCTTCGAACTTTGGATACGTTTCAAGAAAGAGAATAAGAGCCGGTTTTTTGATCGACTGAATTTGGTCGTCGAGAATGATTTGAGCTTTTGTTCTGTTGTTGACGTCGAACGTCGTAGCACGACGTTCATAATGTGGTTTGGATAACTTTTTCTGTTTTTCAGTCAACGGATTGCCGATGGTGTCTTTCGAAAGAACTTTCTTTGGTTTTCGTTTGGGAGGAGGGGGGACACACGTCACTTCCAATACCAATGTTGTAAGGACTGCAACTGATTGATCGAAGTCTGTGATGAGAGTGAATTGTTGTGCACGTATAGCGCATATAGTGTCAAACGCCTTTGTCATTTTTTCTTGGTTTTCTGGAGTTAGTTGGACTGCGTCAAATATTTCTTCAAAGAGTTTATCAAGTTTGTCCAATTGAATCACAGCAATGTCCCAACTTTTTGTTACCTATAATTGAGTCTAATGGTATAACAAACTATATCAAAAAAGGTTGGAGGAGTTACAAACAGATGTGATCTTGAGTTTCGATATGGTGTTGTAACATTCCAACGCTATAACTTCGACAGCTCGCGGTTCAGAATCTGCCATTGTGTTGTTTCAAGTTCAGAACTACATTCGAGTCCTTCAGATATTGGTTTCGATATGTATTTTTACGATACTTTAAGTACTATAAAGTGTAGTTAATTGTATTATAATAATCAATGACTCTTTTTTGGTTTATTCAAACAAAATCTGTTGTTTTCTTTTTTTGTTTGTTTTTTGGTTGGAAAAGTAAACTATATTTATACAAAAATTTGTTATTACAAATAGTACAGATTGTTTTGCAAAAAATAAAAAAGGCAATTTTTGATTATCTAATGGTAAATAAAAAGAAAAAAAAAGGTAATAAGTTTAATTTCTTTTATTAGACAAATTCAGTTTTATTGAACTACCAATTTTGAATAATTATTATTTTTGGTTGAATTAAGAAATTTTTACTATATATTATTGTATAATTATTATTATTAAACCTATTATTTTAAGGTAAAAACGTTAGATGTACAAATTTATATTTCAATACATTTTTGTGTAACTTGGTTTTCCTTTCAAACCAAGAGTGTTAACACGTCATCAAATTTGTTTTAAAATAATTAATAATAAATAAACTATTGAATAGATCAGAATAATACTTTTTTTAAATTGAAAAAAGATGTATTTAAATAATATTTATTTTTGAAATACAATAAATTAATTGATTTTTTATTTATTTTTACAATCAACTAACTCAGTGTTGTTTTGCAAGACAATCTTTAAAATAGAGATTACTAGATTCAATAATTATAATTATTAATAAAATGGTATTTTTAAAAAACAAATTTAATTTTAAAAGCTATAAAATGTATAATCTAATTACCATTAAATATAACCAGAGCATGATATTATTACAAAGAGTCAAATAATTTGTTCATTTTTACATTATCAGTATTAACTGAAGAGTATATGAAATTTAATCTGCTGATATTATAACAATTTAAACATCATTTGACTTGAAAACAAAAACTCGTTTTATTGATTATCAATGATTAGTTTGCTTGGATTGTCAATCTGGTGGAAATGAAAACGACTTCATTTGATTTCATTTTTACCTCTTTTAAAAAATGTAAAAAGTATTATTATTAAATAATTTATAAATCAATAAATATAATACATATATTTCATAGAATTTTCTTCAAATTGTATAAAACAGATCGGTTGTTGTGTTTTACCATTTTTAAACGAAATAGTTTAAATTTAAAAGTTGTTATGAACAGATTACTCAAAATGTATTATTTGGAGTAAAAATATCTGTGAGAAATGATTAAATAGTATTTCACTACTATTTTTTAAAATAGTTAGAAACTACCTTTTTTATTTTTTTGTGAAAAATCCTCTGTTTTAACTTCTGTCTTGATGAAAAGGACAATTCATTATCTTCTAAAGCATTATGTCAAACGCTCCAAAAGTGATACTAATCTTTGGTGGTCTGGGTTTATTGGTTTGTTCCTTACAAAATTACTTTTCTTAACAAGTAGATAGGTGGGATTCTATCGTTGATCTTCACTTCATTGTACCCAGTTAGAAACACTGAGTATGTGAATGTTGACAAAAGTTCAGCACTCTTTGCACTTATAACTCCTGACGCCATTAAAATCGAAATGGTGTGTTATGGTGTGTTAGCTATATGTTTTGGATTTATTGGGATCTTAGTTGGAACATCAAATTCATTTGGACTGAAAGTAACCGCATCTATCCTTCTCAGTTTTTTCATTGTTGGTGCACTTATTGAAACTCTCACTTTTGGGTCAACATTCTTCTTTTTCAATACAAGAAATGATTATAATGTACAAAAGCAGTTAGATACAATTGAGATCGCGTTTGGATGTTGTGGGTGGTATACTCTTCGTGATTATCCTCCGTGTCAATCTTCAATAGGGTCTCAAGCAAATTACACGTGTTATATGAAAACAAGGAATATAACGCACACTTCACTTATAAATTTCATATTTGGAGCTTTCTTCTTATTCATTGGTATCATTCTCATTATCACGACAGCAATTCGATTGTTCGAAATAAACGAGTTGATACCTTACAATGAAATAGAATATGGGGATGATGATGACTATGAAGATGAGGATGTTAAAGATGTGATAAACTAATTATAGGATTTCATTTAGTTAAAAAAAACTATTTATACTAATAAGAATTCAACCTTATACATTTTATAATGTAGTATATATATTAATAAATTAACCATTTAAATGTTATTATAAAAGTTAAAATAACATTTATTATAATAAAATAATAATAAAATACCAACTATAAGAAATATTGATTTATTTTGATTTAAAATAATATAAACTAGTAATAAAACCATAAAATGAACTAATAAAAAGATGATTGAATTAATTAATCATCGCTGTCGTCCTTTTGCATCTTTTTCAACCTGTTCTTGGTCTTCTTAAGTTCAGCATTGACCTTATCAACTTCAAGTTGTTTGTTGTTCAGATCTTCATTGGCCTTTCTGACCTGATCTTCCAACTCAGCAATTCTCATTTCACTGTCTCTGACTGATTGTTGTGTCTTCTTCAAATCGGCTTGTGTCTTACCAATTTGAGTGTTGAAAGTAGACTCCTTCTGTTCGTATTCTGCAAGCTTTCTCTCAGCCTCTTCAACCTTTCTGGCGTATTGTTTGGCTTGTTTCTTGGCTTTAGCAGCAGCGTTTTGTGCTTCTTCCTTCTCTTGTTCGACAGATTCCAACTCTTGGTTATACTTCGCTTTCAATTTAGCAATAGAAGCTCCAGTAGCACCAGCGTCTGCCAATTTGGCTTCAGCGTCGGTGACTTTAGCTCTGAGTCTTTGAGTTTCTTTGTCAGCCTCTTGTTTGAGTGATCTTTCCTTCTCGAGTTCCTTCTGTAAATCAGCCTTTTGAGCAGTCAACGAGTTAATGGACTTCTCGGCTTGTTCCTTATATTCACCAAATTCGTTTTCGTTCTCCATCACTTCTCTAAGCTTCTCGGCGTATTTCTTCTTCTGTGCTTTAGCCTGTTGAGCAGTGGTTCTTTCAAGATCAAGTTGCTCGTTCAACTCAGTCAACTTCTTCTCGTAAGTGTTCTTTGACTGTTTGTAAGTCTTAGCAGCTTGTTCAAGAGCTTCCAATTCAGTCTTCATCTCAGACAAGTCGTCTTCAAGTTTGTCGCATTCGTCTTGTTTCTCGTCGAGTTCGGTCTTAGTTCTCATCAATTCTTCAGAAGCAGCCTTATAGTCTCTCATAGTCTTAACCTTCTCTTGTTCAGCCATCTGGACGTTCTTCTCAAGGGTTTCAGCTCTGACTGTGATTTCAGCAATTTCTTTCTCGTACTTGCCCTTAATCAATTGGGTCTTGGCATGGTCTTTCTTTTCTTGATCAAGTTCAGTTCTAACGTTCTTCAATTCGTCTTGGTATTTCTGTTTCATCGCTTCATTGCCATCTTTATCGTCATTTGCAGTGTCAAGTTGCTTCTGTGCCTTGTCAACTTCAGCATTCAAGTCGTTGATCATCTTGTCCATTTCCTCCAAATCCTTCTCGTTCTTCTTCTTCTCCTCTGTGAGTTGATCAACTTGGACGGTCAAGTCATTAGCCTTTTTAGTCAACTTCTCCTTAGTGTTATTTGCTTCATCTAAGTTGAACTGGACTTCCTGCAATTTGCTCTCAGCAGCCTTTCTCGCAGCATCTGCACTGTCAGCCTTCTGTCTTTCTTCATCAAGTTGGGCTTGAATTTCAGCAATTCTTGCATTCAACATATTCTTCTCTTCTTCTTGAGCAACAGAAGCTGGTGCACTGACTTGGACTTTAAGTGATGAAACTTGTGCATTGAGTGCTTTGACTTGGTCTTCCATCTTTTTTCTTCTATCAGATTGGTCCGCAGCAGTCTTCTCAGCCTCCGCTTTGTCGTCCAATGCCATCTTCTTTTGTGCTTCAAGTGCCTTAATCTGTGATTCATAATTCTCAATCTTAGAAGCGTCTTCAACAGATTGCTTCTTCATATCCTTCTTAGCGGCATCAAGTTGAGTGTTCTGTTCTTTCAAAGCAGCAACTGCCTTTTCCAAATCAGCAATTTGGTTGTCTCTCTTGATGACCTCAGTTTGGTCGATATTTGAAGTCCCAACTGGTCTATCTTCAAGGTCTTGAACTTGTTGTTCCAAATCAGCAATTTTCTTCTTGTCCTTAGCTGTTCTGTCTCTCAACTCGTTCAATTCAAGGTTATTAGCTTCAACATCTCTCTGCAACTTTTTGATGGTTCCATTAAGACTGTTGGTCTCGTCTTCATGTGCTGAGACTAAGTTATTGAGTTGGTCATATTCGTCTTGAAGCTTCTTCTTTTCAGAAGAAAGTTGGTCTTTGTCATTCGCCAAGTTCTTCACCTTCTCTTTAATTTCGTCATTTTCTGCTTTCAACTTCTTTGCCTCCTTTTCCTTAGCAAATTTGTCTTTCTTGACAGTTTCAAGCTCTTCATTGGCTTCAGCAACTTCTTGTTCTCTTCTTGTGATAACACCAGTGAGTTCGTCGACTTTGGCACTCAATTCCTCAATCTTCTTATTGCTCTCATTAACAGTTCCATTGAGCTTCTTCTTATCAGCAGCATCAGTGTCGGCATTCTTCTTGAGGTAGTCATAGTTCTGTTGGAGTTGGTCAAGTTCGGCTTTAGTTCTTCCCAAGTCGTTCTTAGTAATTCTCAACTTCTCACTGACAGCTTCGACTTCTTCATTAAGAGCAGCCTTTTCTCTTTCGGCGTCTTTCAATTTAGCGTCAACAATTGATTTAGCTTTAGAGATGTTATCATTGTCAGCTTTCAATTGAGCCAATTGCTTTTCTTGAGCATCTTTCTTTCTATTCATATTCTCAGCATCAGCTTCAAGCTTGTCTTTGTTATCAGCAGTCTCATCAAGTTTGGCTTGGAGTTCCTTATTAGCAGCTTTGTTCTTCTCAAGTTCAGCAGTGATGTCTGCCAACTTCTGGAGGGCTTCCTTCAAGTCGTTATCCAACTTCTTCTTTTCCTTTTCTGTTCTATCTTTTTCGCTTTGCAAGTTGGATTGAGCGTCTTCTAAATCTGCCAATTCATTCTCCGCCTTCTTCTTCTTTGCTTCAATTTCTTCCTTCTCCTTTTCAGTCTCAGCAAGTCTTTCATTCAAGTTGTTGATTTCGACGTCTTTCTGGTTCATGTTCGATTTGGCACCAGCCAAGTCCTTTTCAGTCTTCTCCATATCGTCCTTCAACGCTTGGATTTGAGATTCATAGTCGGCCTTCTGTGCTTTTAACATATCAGAGTCATTAAGTCCGTCTTCAATTCTCTTTGTCAACTCAGCAATCTTTCTTTGAGCATCTTTGTTCATTGAATCAAGTTTTCTGTTCTTGTCTTCCAACTCGTCCTTGTCGGAGTTCAAAGCTGAGATCTTCTTATCACTTGCATTCTTGGCTGAAGTTAAAGCAGCAGTCTTTGTCTTCTCTGCTTGTAATTGTTGATTATACCCATCTCTCTCGTCTGAGACCTTCTTGTTCTGAGCAACTTGTTGGTCAAGTTTCTTCTCAGTATCGTCAAGAGCCAATTGAGTCTTCTTGAGTTCATTCTTGGTATTGGAAAGATCGTCTTTAGTATCGTTCAAAACAGCGCCAGTGTCTTCATTCTGTGCGTTAACATCAGAAATGGTGTTTTGCAACTTCTTGACTTGTTTCTCCAAATCAGCAATGTCGTCTTCCTTCTCGTGCAATTGTGTCTCGAGATCCTTTGAATTGTCTTCTTCCGCTTCAAGCTTCTTCTTCAAGTCAGAAATTTCGCCTTCTCTGTCTTCAATGTCTTTGTTCAACTCTGTGATAACGCTATCCTTCTTAGCAATAGTCGCTTTGTGCTCAATGATTTCATCTTGAAGTCCTTGATTATCAGCTTCAAGTTTCTTGTACTCAGTGGTTAACTTGCTCAAGTCTTCCTTTCCTCTCTTAATATCACCTTGGAGTTCCTCAATGTGTTCTTGGTCTTCTTGTGACTTCATATCCGCCTCTTCAAGTGCAATCTTCTTCGACTCAATTTCTTCCTTGAGTTCTTCAATTTCGTCTTTGAGCTTCTGGACCAAAGCTTCCAAATCGACGTTCTTGATTTTCATCTCAGAAAGTGCCTTCTCAGCGGCTTCTCTCTTCTTAATTTCTTCAGCAAGCTTCTTCTTCAGAGCTTCAATTTCTTTGTCCTTGGCTGCGAGTTCTTCATCGACTCTTCTTCTCTTGAGTGTTGGTCGGACCTTTTGGAATAATCTGAACCAGACCCAATTTCTGAATTGGTACCAAGTGTGAATGGTGTCTTGAATGACAGTAATAGCAATCTGTTCATTGCGTTTCTGTTCAATAAGCTTTCTTTGAGCAAAGGCTTTTGCGCACATATGAAGACCACCAATAAGTTCAGTGACTCTGTTCTCTCTAATTTCTTCAATTTCAGCAAGAACACCAACCTTGAAGAAAATCTTGGTCTTACCAAATCTGAATTCTTCAGTGTTAACTCTTGGCTTGCCATCCTTCTTGTACTTCTCACAGATTTGTTTCATGAGCTCCTTGACTACTGGCATAGCATCTGAAGTCTTCTTGTTGATGTTAGTTCCAAGGAAGAAGTATCTCTTCAAGAATTCGTTGTAGATGATTCTGTTTGGATACCCAAGACGTGTAATTCTAATACCTTCCAAGACACCATTGCATCTCAATTGCTTCAAGACAGTTGAATCGATGAAGTAGTGTCTTCTCTTCTGTGTATTTGGAAGAATGCATCTAATGAAGTGTGGTGTAGTCATTCTTAACTTCTTCATAAGATCATCAAGTTGTTCTCTGTGGTTTGATCCTACAGTCAAGAACTTAGCACCTCTCTGGCCCTTGTTGGCTCCACCAGCTGAAACTCCAGAGTCATCACCACCGGCAACATGCAAACTGAACAGTTCTGAAATAAACTTCCCTTGAGCAGCCAAGAAAGTCTCTTTAATTTGTGGTTCCAATGGATCTTTGTTCTTTCTGACCCAGTCAATACCATCGTAAGTCACATCACCAGCATAGTGAATGATATCAAACTCAAAGTGTCCAGCAGTCGATGCAACTCTTGGCTTTCTGAACTTGGGATGTCCACCAAATGCTTGGCAAATCAAGTCATAGAACTGCTTATCGTTACCTGCGTTGGTGAAACACTGAGATTCCAAATGTGACAAGATTGAGGCTTTCTGCTTGGATTCGATCAAGTCGATGACCGGCTGAAGATCGTTACCAAAGTTCTGTCTGGTCCATTCAATTCCTTCTCTCAAATACTCTTCTTGTTCCAAATTGAACATGTGGTTGTTGAAGAATTGTTGCAACTTTTCATTAGTCAAGTTAATGCACAATTGTTCGAAAGAGTTCTCTCTGAAGATTTCAAACCCGGCAATATCCAAAATACCAATAGAAGTATCTCCGTCCTTTCTCATAACTCTGTTGACTTGCTCAACAATGAAGACGAAAAGTCTGTGGTAAATGAACTTCAACATAGCTTGTGTGCTTGCTTCGGCTTCAGTTTTGTTGTACTTCTTCTCAATGACTTCCTTTCCTGTTTTGAAAGATGGCTGAATAAGAGCCTTTCTGAGTGCTTCTGGCTCACATCCCCACAATTCACATGCCTTTGAAAGTTCATCCAAGTTGGAAATCTCTGCCATATCCTTCCCATCAACGTAGCATACATTGCCCATGTGCAACATACCAGCTACAATCTTGAAGACTTCTTCTTGTTGATTGTCAGACAATCCAAGTGTTCTCATAGCAGCAACAGTGTTCTTGAACTCCTCCAAGTCGTTCATGCCGTCAACCATAATTTCATTTGGAGACGTCTTGTTCTGATAAATCAATCTGTATTTATCAGGTGCTTCAAGTCTCCATTCGCTTCTTTGTTGTGGTGTGGCACCAGCCAACAATTGGTAGAAGATGTGGTAATTTCTGTCTTCTTTAGCTTGTGAGACTATTCTGGACTTCTCAAGCAAATACATAGTCATCTTGCATCCAATGACTTTGTTGGCTTGGAATTGAATTTCAATGAACTTACCGAAACGAGATGAGTTGTTGTTTTTAACAGTCTTGGCATTACCAAAGGCCTCAAGCATTGGATTCAATTGGATCAATTGGTTCTCAATATCACCCATTGTAGCACTTGATCTTCCAGCAATGGTAGCAATGTACTGAATGACTCTCTTGGTGTTTTCAGTCTTACCAGCACCAGACTCTCCAGTGATCAAAATGGATTGATTTCTGAATTGAGCAGACAAGTCTCTCATTTGAGTCAATGCACCTTCGGCAATAGCATAGACGTGTGGAGCGACTTCTTCTTTTCTTCTTCCAGTGTACTTATTGATCATGAAAGGAGTGTATATTGGGAAGAACTGATATGGATTGATCACAACACAGAAAAGACCAGAGTAAGTGTGAATGATGTCTTTCATGTATCTCAGTCTCAAGTTATAAAGGACAGTAGCTTCAGACAATTGAGTCAACTGTGACATATCGTCTACACCATCAAACTTGGTTGGATTTCTGCTGTAACATTCTTTCTTGGCAATTTTAATCTCACCAGCATCAGTGTCAAGAATGTAATTGTCACCTTGTTCCGACTTGATTTGAGCAGTTAAGAACTCTTGGTATTCAGTCTCAATTTCCATGCCATTGGCACCAATTTCAATTTTTGGTCTTGGTGCGGGGTTGTTATACCATACCCATCCAGTGGTCACACCTCTGTAATCATCCGGGAGCTTGTAAATCATGTACTTCAAGTAATCGTCGTTGGATCCCTCACCAAACGCGTTTGCCATTTTTTTCTATTAGATTTATGCAGTTCGTCCCTTTTATTGCGAAATTGGTGTTTCTATTTCAGGAAGATATTAATCTCAAAAACGGTGTAATTTACAGTTTACAGATTATTTGGCTAATTATAACTAGTGTTATTTCCCGATGCTGTGGTTAAAAAGACGGCATTTTTATGAGAAAATTGCTTTATTTGTCTTTCAAAGGAATTAAAAAATAATTTTTGCCTATTCAATGGTTTTTAACAGGTTTTATTTTGTAGATGTCTGGTTACTTTTATTCTATTCATCGGGTTATTTTTTTAAACCATCGGCACTATTTTTCTCTGTTTACTCAATTGATCGAATATAAATATACTTTTCGAAGCGTGGATACAATTAACAAATAATTGAAAGGAGAACTATATGTTATGTATGTGTTTTTTTTAAATAAAAAATAAAACCCATTTCATTAGTACATTTTTAACTGTTATATTCAAAAACTACCTAAAGTTACGAGCCAATTTATTATAAATAACAAAGGAAAGCACCCAATACATGTTGGGAAAGTACTTTTACTCTTTTTCAATTCCAAGTTTGATCCTACTTATTTGTTAACCATTCAATAAAAAAAGTAAACCAATAGCTATGAAAATGGGCATTATTAAGTTATCATCACCAAATGACATTCAAAGCAACGATTAAATTGTTATAAACCTCCTTTAAAAAATGAAATAATTACGACGAATTATAATAAAAAGTTGTATTTAAAAGTTTTTGAGTGAATAAAAAATGAAAAACAACAACAATTAAAAAAATTTACATAGAAGACGACGTCTTAAGAAAATTTTGAAATCCCTCAATCTGAGAAAAAGAGTAATTATTCATCTTCCCCATCTCAATGACTTCAAGGACATCCGTCATAGTCTTCATTTTGGAATAATTCAGTTTTTCCCCGGTGAACGTATCGAATTGTTGGATCGAGATCATATCTTTAAGAAAGACAGAGAATATAGGAATACGTGGGGATAAAGTATTGATTCTTTTGATTGAGGCTCTGTACCGTGCCATATTCTTTTCAATCGAAAAAATCTCATACAATTTGTTATATAAAAATGTTTTGGCTTTACTTAACTTCGCAAACTCCTTTTGAAAAGTGATCGACTGTTTAATAATAGCAGAAAATATAAGGTGTGCGATATTATAGTCCCCAAGACGCAAACAGTCGTCAGCAACTTTTAAGAAGAACCCAAACGACTTCTCATCTTTAATAGTTTCCACCATCATTAATTCGAGTCCTTTTAACTTCTGAAGATAGATAGAGACACTCTTCGACTTATCTAAATCAACTAAATCCCTCTTCTCAAGCTTCATAAAATTGTCGTAATCGAATTGCACGAGTTGCTCTGAAAATGTCTTTGCATTGAGTGACACTAAATTGGAGTAATCAACTTTATCAACAACTTCACCATCACACTCATCGATCTCTTCGTTTGCAATCTGTGAATGTGATATTAAAGAATCGGATAACCCTTTTGATTCAGTCAACCTTTTCCCTTTCGTTGGGTTCTGTCGTTTAGGTGTTCGAGTGGTTCTTGGCGTGGTTTTAGGCGACTCCTCCAACATCAAAGATTGTAAATCAAGAAGAAATTGTGTAGTAAAAAATTCCGAGGAATATGCACATGTAATTTTATTCTTCTCAGGGTTTGTGAGTCGGTGAGTCTCAAGATATGATAACAAAGCAAGTTGTGCTCTTTTAGCAATAGTACTGAGAAAATACTTTGGGACGGTTTCATCATTAGACAACTCTATGATACGATCGACTTGGTCAACAAACAACTTCACCATTTCCTCATGTGTTGCTATGATAGAACTACTCACCTTCATAATTCTAATAAGTTCCTCATTTGCAAAGGGGTCGAAATATTGTATGAAGAATTGAGTTTTAGTGCACTCGATGATGGCCCCATTTTCATCATAAGTAGGGTCTCCGTCCTTTGAAAAAATTACATCCGTGTTTTTGAACAAGTCGCTTGCAAACTTCTCACATTGTGGAGGAAGCACTTTAGCTCTGTTGAATACTAAATATTGTAATTCTTTTGATGTGCTATTTGACTCTTTCATTTTGCGCACAATAGTCTCTAAAATAATACGCCGATTTTTTTCAAGTCTCCACACAATAGTCCTTGTGTCGGAGATATAGACCTCTGTCTCGTCTTGAATAATCATAAATTTGGTCTTGTTGAAGTACATTAAGATATCAGCAAACACAAATTTGTCTGCTAAAAGTCCAACTAAAGCTACAGAGACTGTTGTCAATATGGCAGAGTCCGACTTTCTGTTGTCTGTTTCAGTAGTGAACAAGTCACGCAATTTGCCAAAGGATCTTGTTAGGCCGTTTCTATGCAGTTTCATTCTTTGGTGATCTTCCAGTGTGGGGGTGCTCGACTGTGCCTTCATTCGTTGACTGTTGGAAAATGGAGTTTTAGACCAAAATAATATGTACACAAAACCTTTGTTTGCACCCACTCTATTGGTGCAACGTTAAAAAGACGTTTATAATAATTATTATTTCCCGACTTTTTTCATTAAAAATGAATAAAGTATTCATTACTGTTTTATTTTAAAATGTCAACGCTTTGTTTGATTCGAAAGTTTTTTTTTCAATTTTTTGGAGGACTTTTGTTGTATTTTTTTAACAAAATAACTATATTGGTTTTGTTAAGGTTTTGTTGATTGTAAATAATTGATTAAAAAATTATTATTTTTATTATTGATAAAAGTGGAAAACTCCGTCTTAAAATACTGGGTTTTTGTTTTTGTTTGTTTGAAGGATTTTCACGACAAAATATATTTTTTATATGGAAGTGAAATATGGTTTATTTTACTATTAAAGTATTACAGTGTTTTTAAAGCAAATATTAAATTAGGCACTTTATGCATTTTTGTATTTTTTTCAAAAACTTTACAAAACAAGCCATAACAATACTATATATATATTATTAACAAATTATAAACAACTGGAATTATTTCTTATTGTTAAAAAACGATTTAAATGTTGCAATTCACAAAATCAAAAAAATAGTTATTTATTTTTATTCAATTCTCAAAATTGTATTACAACAATTGTTTTTATTTCATAACCCGAAAATACACCAATAAAACATTTGAAATAACAACAAAAGAAATAATCTAATTTTTTTGGCAAATTTATAAATAACCCACTTTGTGTCGTTTTTATTTTTATCTGCAAAAACAAGAAGTTATTAAAAAATAACTCCTTATTAATATTACCATACATACTTTTGATTTGGTTGGTTTTTAAAATTATAATAAATATAATATAAAAATATATATATTATATTATATATAACAATATAAAACGTTTATTGATTATGAGTTGTTACACTACCAATTAATACAATTTAATATCATAAACCAAAGCTATCTTTCAATCACTTCAAAAATGTGCCTCACTAATTTTCATCAAAAAACCCTTGTCAAGTTGCACCTTCTTTTCTATTGCGTCATCGACCATGGCCTTCAGATCCTTTCGCATTCTCACAACTCTTCCCGCATTAATAGGAGAGGTCTGAATTTGTATCCACCCATCGAGGGTCACCTTTTTCTCTTTGAAGTTGATGTCAAACCCATTTGCCAAGAGACCTATAAACACTTTCTTAACAAGGGAAGACTCCCAGACTGTGATTTTATTTGACTTCACTATGTTAGTGAATATGAAGACGTTTTCTTTGAATTCGGTCTTCGGTACACTATTGACTGATGTGTTCCCCATCACCACCTGATGCTTTTTAGTCCAATACTCAA